TATTGTTTTCAAGCTTCTAATTTGATAACCTATCAAATTATCTTTTTCACAACTATTTTTAATATTACGCCTATTTATCTACTAAAATTATAGGTTTTATTATCGATATGATTATTATCACTTTTACACCTCTTTTCTTAAATAGTCGATTGTTGTCATTTTATTTCAAATTTTGTATTTATTAAATTAAGTATAAATCCATTTTCTTGTATCTATATTTTATATTAGCGTAAAGTCGTAATATATTTTTCTTTTATAAACTAGTAATTGTCATCTTATAATATATGTTGTATTAGTTATTAAGTTAGAAGCCTAAAATAATGTAAAATAAGAAGAGAAACGACCCAAGAAAATTCAGCTACAACCCAAAAGTCTCCAGCCATTCTTTCAGCCCAAAATCTACCTGAGAAGCCCAAATTTGCTCTTAACATTCAGCCCAAACTTAAAGCTAATCAATCTGACCTATCCAAGCAACGGTACTCTCTCCGAAACAATGCTAATCACGCTTTTTCCACTTCCGGATAGAAGATTTATCATTCTCAGCCATGGACAGAGCTTGTCCATCTATTTTGGTGCAATCTTTATCTTTATTCTAAGGAAATCAACAGCTCTTTTCCTCTTCTTGATTCTTATCTCTCTTCTTTAATTTGGTCAACAAAAGGCCAAAAGAACTTTTGAGATTTTCTGAGGGAGAATCATGTTAGCAGAGATTTGAAATTTCAAACGGCCATTTTTCTTTTTCAATCAAAGTCCCGCCCAAAATCCCAAGGAAAAAGACTTTAGTTTTGTCACTATAAGTACAGCTCTTGCATCCATCTTTGGGAGAAGATTTTTTTCAGCCTCCATAGAAGCTTTGACATTCATTTTTAAGAAGTTTTTCCATTGCACCATAGTACTATTTAACTACTCTTTTCTTCTCTAAAATATTGCCTTTTCATCTTTCTTTCGATCTCGACCGAAACTCAAGTTTCAAGCTTGTTCGAGTTTGTCATTGTTACAATATAGACATTTGATCGCAGCAGCCCGTTCACTGCCCTATAGCAGGTGACATTCTTTTCTTTTTCCTTTGTTTTGTTACTGTGATTAGAGTGATATGTTGCTCTAAAAAATTGTATGTTGAGACTGATTCTTGTTTAGTTTAGTTGCGATAAAGGAAGTGTTAAAAAATGAGTTTGTGTTTTGTTTGAGATCTGTACAAAGATGAGCTTGTGCTCCATTTATGTTTCAAATGCTTTGAACTTGAAAGAATTTTTAGTTTTATGACTAGAAAACCACCAGTTCTTTTTTTTTTTTTTTTGCTCCAAGTTGCTTATTGATTGTTGTCTGCATATGCTAAGAAATTTCAGCCCATAAGTAATTAGATAAAGACATGCTTATAGGACTTAATTTTGTTTTGTTTTGGTTGATGAATAAGTTGTAGATTTTGTGTTTTTCCTTAAAAACGTAACCTTTGATTGTAAAGTTACTACAAGTAGATTGCCTCTTATATCCTAATACCTGCAAAAAATATATAATTTGTAAATTTCTTTGTGTGTATGAATACTCTTCGAACTTTATGTGTCGAGACCAAAGAGTGATTTTTGTTTATTTTAGCTATACCGGAAGTAGTGTTAAAAATGTATTCGTGTCTTCTTTGCGAGTTGAAGCTACTTGTCATGTTTAGACGACGTGCACTAAAGAATGGTTCCGTTTTAAGTTTCACATGAAATCAATTTTTGGTTATTAGTTAATTGTTCATTTGGTGCCTTTATTTGTCAAACATTTGCAGCCTTTGTTTAGTTATGTGAAAGTGTGTTTAAAGAAGTTAGTTTTCCATTTTTTGTGTACTTGGTAATTAGGTAGTGAAGTGTAAATATATTATGACACTAATGTTGTCCGTAATTCTGCTCTATTTTACTACATATGGACTTGAGTTTAAGCCCCCCTCTCCTATTCTCCATTTAGTGGATGCAGTTGCACAAGTTATTCTTATTATCTAACAATGATTGTGTAAGAATATTGAAAGATCATGATTTGGTTTCTTTTTGTCATAAAAGTAATTTTCTTCTAGCTTAAATTGGATGAACTTGAGAATTAGTTTGGTGTTATAGCTTATTTGCTTTGAGTTCGGTTAATAAGTCGTTAATCACAAAGTGGTGTAATAGTATATTTATGGTATGATTTTACTTGGCTTCATATTTAGTTTATTCAATATCACCTTAAAGTTGATTATCTTACTAATCTTTTTACTCTCTTTACATGTACATTTTGGAGCAAAATTGAGTTTTGATTCAAGACTCTAGCAAATTATCGAGTCTCATAGACTCAACATTATCCTCACACCCACACATGGAGTCTTCACTACATCTTTGACCATTCGAAATTGCAAGCAAAACAAGTGGTCCTATCTTGGAGTCACGCCACTTACATTTTGCGTTATTTGTTTACGTGTTTTTCTTTACATGTTATACTTGCTTGTGTGATTTAGATATTTCTAGTTTGGATTCATAATAGTTGACTTGATATAGTTGTTCGGGTTTGGGTACATCTAGTTAGAAACAAACCTTTGTAGTTATTTTAGCTTTTTTATAAACTTCATTTGGCAAACTTTTTTTAAAACACTCCCCTTTGCATCACTTTAAACTCACTAATTTACTAAGTTTTGGTCAAACTTGGCATTGTCTTTCAACAAAGAAAAATGTTTTGTTTTAAACTCTTATTTTTCTAAAACTTTTTCTAAAGGGAGCATCTTGTCGGTTAATGAGCAAATGTCTATTTTTTAATTACCCCTTTTTTAGCCATGGATTTGTCTAAATTGATCTAAAAAATTACTCTTTCTTAAACCTTTTTCATTCTAATAAATTGTAAAAAGAGCTTTAAAATAAAAATGTTTTCCAACTTGGTTACTCAACTACTTAATCTTTGGCACTCATATCTTTCTTTTAAATTTAATTAACTTAAGTTTGGCCGGTTAACCACTTTCAACGGATCTTAAAGGATGTCTTACCCCTTCCCTTTAGGATAAATTAGAACCCTTACCTAGAATCATGCAAGTTAAGTAGACCATTTAATTGAAGTCATTTTAGTATTACTTAGTTAAATATTTAGGTGTCCTAATTCACCATAATTAATTAGGTGGCGACTTCTTAAGTTAATTAATTTGGAAATCACCAAAATGTCGTACACCATTTTGACCTCGAGTTAAAATGCGGTATAACATCCTCAATGTATACTCACTGATTGTACCTGAGTGTATATTGACTATATACATTATACACTCTAGATACATCATGCATCAAATGTGGGACTAAAAAAAAAACGAATTTAAAAAATATTAGATAGTAAGTTCTCACAAGTTGTCAAAGTTGTACTCCTTTGTCCCAATTTATACAGACACTTTTTATTTTTCGAGATTCAAACAATTTAAATTTGATAGTAAATTTGCGCATGAAAACTTCAAATATTTTAAAATGAAATTTATATATTTATAAACCAAGTAAAAAGTAACATAAGTCACAATAATTGATAGTTCAAAATATTCAAAGAATATATGAAAAATTTACACATAAATTGAGACGGAGAAATTGACTATCTTTTGGTTTGAAATTTGCAATTGTATCTGATTGGTCTATTGGGTGATGCTCTCACCTATATGAGGAATGTTTTGGCTCTCATTTTATACACACCAAAAGATAAATAGCGAGTATAGTCCACAAATTATTTAGTCTGTGGAAAAATAGAGTGGGGTTAATATTGAACCATCCAAATTTCATTAGTTCAAATCTGAAATAAAATATGTTAAGAAACATAAATTATGAAAAAGTTTTAACAAATACTTGTAAACTACATTATACTCCTTTGGTTCCCTTGTGCTTGTCCCAATTGAACTTCACACATCTATTAAGAAAATATTGATTAATATGACTATTTTACTACACTGCCCCTATTAAATGACATTTGGTATTAGGTTTGGAAAAATAATTTGAGGAATAAATAATTAATGCTAAGGTAAAACATGGAAAAAAATTTATCGTTTCTTGATATGTTAAAAGTGACAAGTAAAAATGAAAATCTATTTTTAGAATAGTTGACAAGTAAAAGTGAGCAACCATGAGGTCTTTTCATGTTTAAATCCCAACAAAAATAAAAATGTTAGGTGATTTTTCTCATCCGATAATCTTTTTTCCTTATAGGGTTAATTGGAAAAGGTCTAACTAGCTGAAACTAGACGATTACACCATATCAATTGTTACCTAAAATGTGATTTTTCGCTATTATATATATAACAATTGATTTAACAATATGATATAATAAAATTTAAGTAACAATCACAATATTTTAACTAACAAGAGAATATATGTAACAACCATCAAATAAGTTGTTAGTGTTGTTAAGAAGTATTGGCAAATGGCAATCAAATTAACCTGTACAGTTGGGAAGAAATATAATGCAAATTTAAGACGTTTTAAACGACCTAAACACAGTCATTAACTATATAATTTAATGGAGTGTAAAATTGTAACCTCTCCAAGTGGACAGTTAGTAAGTATTTAGTACTATTCTTGTTAAATGACTGAAAAAACAGATATTTATATTGGATTCATAATTTTTATTTTGTGGGTCTTGAATTATACTTATTTTATGCCATTAGATTTTGAATTAATTATTTATATTTATTAAACAATTTCTTAATACAATTACAAGTTTGAGTCAATTATTTCATTTATCTTTAAAATATCTTGAATTATCAATTCTGAACTGTACCAAATAAAATAAAGAGAGTAATGTTTTTTTAAAAAAACAAAAACTGAGTTTTCAATACCGTCCCATGCCCACCCCTACCTTCATCCCTTGCGGCATCTAGTGTGGTATAAATAAATGGTATGTGAAGAAACGTGAAAAACTTTTATTTCTGACAATTTTTAAGTAATTCATAAATCATATGTATGTACATTATTACCTCTCACTTTTTTCTTTTCAGAAAAAGTTTGTGATATGTAAACAATCTTTCCCTTATTTTTAGATCTCAACAAAATCTAATTCTATATGACACACACAACAACACTCATATTAAAGAGGTATTTTTCTTCAAGATTTGATTAGTAGAGTAGAGCCATGGGTTGGAATTTCTTTACCATCTTCATTGTGCTACTTTTTCATCACTCAAATGCAAATGCAAATTTAAAGCAGAGTTGCAACTTTTTCGAAGGAAGTTGGATTGAAGATGAAACTTATCCTCTTTACAATTCAACTCAATGTCCATTCATTGAACATGAATTTAATTGTCAAAGGAATGGCCGTCCTGACCAAGATTATCTCAAGTATAGATGGCAACCACATGGATGCTCCTTACAAAGGTAACTCTAATAACTCACCAGTCGCTAATTGCTCGTATCTAACATAATATTGTGTTGTGAATTTATTTATCATTAAATAGAATTGACTAGAAAATTTGTCTGTCACTAATTTATGTAGTTTTTTTACTAGTGTATGAGTTTTGAAATGAAACTTGTTAATAATGTTATTTGATTCTTGGTTTTGAATCTTTCTAATTCTAAAAATGTTTAATTACAATCTATGTTGAAATGTGCAATGATTTATGAAAGTGATGGAGGCTAGAGGTTAGATTGATGAAGGAGTGCCCGTGAGCCTTGAACCGAAGGTTCGTTTGGTAGCTGATTTGAAAGTGAGTTATTCAAGTATTAAATCCATAATAAGTTTGATAGCTAATTAAAAAATAAATTATTCATATAAAAATCAATATGGTGTTTGATTTGCAATTTTGAAATCCATATAACTAACATAATTTTATAAATACATAAGTCATGAAAAAATTAATGTACTATTTTATACGAGATAAAGTCACTAACACATGTATTACTAATACTACAAAAAGCTAACAAATGAGCTTGAATGCTTATAATGACCCGTGACCACCCCCCAGAAAAGTGGCAGCTTTAATAATGATTTCTCTATGGGAAATCTCGAACACAATAATACATACATTTATGTAATTAATTTATATATGTAATGAACGCTTGTGAATACACAAGTCAAAAGTATCTAATATAAACACATTAATTATTATGTTTAGGTGCTGAATTGAAACATGTTATTAGAGTTGTTGATATATTCGATGAAAAGAAAAATATTTTTTTAAGAGAGAAGAAACCAATTAAGATCTTGACCACTTGATGAAGATCTATACATGATCTGTTTAAAGTAGGTTTTAGATCTCTAAATCAAATTAGACTTGGCATATTTTAGTCAATTATATTGGAGATTACCACAAAAGTAACATATCTGAACATAGGTCCCCCCCCCCCCCTCTTCATGTGCTAATAAGAAAATACTACAAAAAAATTGTTTTTATGTGAAGGTGCCACACTGTAGGGTGTCTAGGATCTGTGTTTTGTTGGGTTTTAAAAGGTGTGAATGAAAAATGAAGAGTTGCGATTTTTATGAAAAGTTGCAACTTTTATGAAGAGTTGTGACTTTTATGAAAAGTTGTGACTTTTATGAAAGGTTGTGACCTTTCCGAAAGATTGTGACTTTTCCAAAGGTTTGTGACCTTTCGGGTAAGGCACAATAAGAACCTTTTCACACTACCCTTTGTTTTCTATAAATTGAGGGATTTCCTCTCATTATAGTTGAACGAATTTTTCTGGACTTCTTCTACTATTACTAAATCTAGTATTCTAAGTGTACTTTACTGCCGTTGAGTGGTTCGCTGACACCGTGGTTTTAGGTACCGATACACCGGTGAGTAAGATTGTTCTATCCTGAGAGGATATATTCCATTAACCTCGATTACATGAGGGGAATAATTTCCTTAAGGGAACACTGTGCATTCAGTGGGCTCTATTTTCTTTCTTTGAGAAAAATAGTTTTATATTGTTTCTTATCTGTTTCTAATTCTATTTTCTCTACTAGTTTTAATTTTCTAGTTTGAAAATACTCTTTAAATTTTATTGTTTCTTATCAATTTCTTTAAAATTTTGTTTTAAGTATCTTAGGGCATCTATGTCTTTTAACACATGCTTTTACAAGGTGTAGGGTCCCTCCACTTCTTTTTATTTGATTTCCAGTTGTAAAATAATCATTTCATTATGGTGGATAAACTGTCACTATAAACTTAATTAGACCTTGTACAATCATGTGTTATTTAAACACACAATAATCATTTCTTCTTTATGCTTTGGAGAGTTTGGTACACGGAATGTGATAATCAAGGATATTTCATGAATTGAGATATCAGATGGCATTATTTTATCCTACCTTTTATAATGAATAGTAATGATACCATTTTAGTACAAATAATGTGATAAGATAAGCAACTAAATTGTACTTACAAAGTATGAAAATGCGCCATGTTACTTGTGATATCATGTCAAATAATTAAATCATAGTATCATAATTCATAAATTTCAAATTCCGTATGCAGATTTGATGGAGGGGCATTGTTAGAGAAATTGAAAGGGAAAAGCATAATGTTTGTGGGAGATTCTCTAAGCCGAAACCAGTGGCAATCACTTGTATGTCTTCTTTATACATCACTCCCTAACACCAAATACAACGCAACCAGAGTTGGTGATGTCTCTTTATTCACTTTCTTGGTACGTATGTACGTAATTTCTATATCATTTTAATTCCCTCGATATATACATACACCATTTGAATTTGTACGTATTTCAGGATTTTGAACTTGACGTGATGTTGGATCGAAGTGTGTATTTAGTGGACGTTGTGAGGGAAGAAAAGGGAAGAGTATTAAAATTAGACTCAATTGAAGGTGGCAAGTTGTGGAAAGGAATTGACATGCTCATTTTCAACACTTGGCATTGGTGGAACCGCAGAGGAACCACTCAACCGTTAGCTCTAACTACTTTTTTGGCACAACTTTTTTTCAAATTTCGTATTTTTTAGCTAACCTACTACATGAAAGTAATCGTTAAAAAACATATTGATATATTGATTTTGTCACCTTTTATATTTTGTAGATGGGATTACATTGAAATAGGAGGTCAATATTATAAAGACATGGATCGTGTTGTTGCTTTTGAGAAAGCTTTATTTACATGGGCTAAATGGATTGACACCAACATTAATCCTGCAAAAACTATAGTGTTCTTTCAAGGAATTTCCCCTTCTCATTACAAGTAAGTTCGATATATGACTTTATTTTCTAAGTATTGTCACATGGATATTATGTAGGTTGCTCAAATAAAAATCGAACTATATATATTTTTAGGATACAATATAAAAAAGAGAAAATTTCATAAATAGCAAAGAGATTAAACTTAATCACACTCCGATTCATAGCTACAATTTGCTTAATTACGTTTAATATCTATAGTTTCGTTTGTTATGAGAATTTCCGTTTGTATATTTAGCTTCCAATATACAAACATGGTAGGTATATACAAATTATGTATTTATACATTTAGGAATTTTTCAAAACTTTGTTTGTATATTTCTCTTGTCATAGGAATTTTTCAAAACTCTATTTGTACATTTCGCTGCCAATATATAAACATAGTAATTTATTATGAATTTTTCGTAACTTACACAAATCAAATGTATCAACAAATCATATACAAATAGCTAGGTAAGCATATACAAAATCTAGATTTATACAATCAGAAATCGAATTATACAAATTCTAGATTTATAGCACAATTTAAGAAACTGTAGTCACTAATCATAAATATCTGAAACTATAATAACTATGGAGCATAATATACTATAAATATTTGTCATTTCACGTAATTTTTCCTATAAGAAGAAAAGATCAACATGTTTATATATATATATACATGGTTAAGTTGTTACAAAAATTAGTTTTGCGACCTTATTAGTATACAATAAATTGGAAGTTAAATGACCATTATCCCACGTGACTATATTATGTTAATGATTCAAATTTAATTCATCATTCTACTTGATCATTCGCGTTAATTTTTACCTTGGTGAAACCAACAGTGGTACCGATTGGAATCAACCAGGGGTGAAAACTTGCTTAGGGCAAATGCAACCAATAAGTGGTTCAACATATCCAGGAGGGTTACCCCCAGCACTGAGAGTTTTGAAGAAAGTATTGTACACAATTGAGAAGCAAGTGACATTGCTTGATGTCACAAATCTTTGCTTATTGCGTAAAGATGGACATCCTTCAATTTATGGGCTAAGTGGAATGGATTGTAGTCATTGGTGTTTAGCTGGAGTTCCTGATATTTGGAATGAAATACTATATAACTTTATAGTAACAACGTAACTGGTAAAATTATTTTTATGTTACCTGATTTGAGTTGTGAAAGCAACCTCCTATAGAATTGATCCTTGTGATCCAAATCTTTTCCTAGTGCACGGAAGATTAAAGAAAAGAATAGTTACTTAATTGAACACATTCAATATGTAGTTCTATTTCATTAATTGTTACTTCAATCTTCAATAATCACTTTTAGTTTAGTGTGTATCACGTTTAGTAATAAATATCCAATAAAGGTATGAATGAATATCTATGTCTTCTATTTTATTTTGTTTTACCCTTCCTAGGAGCTCTCACCCCTTTTGCTCCCTTGGTGACTCGAACTCGCAACCTTCGAATTGGAAGTGAGGGGTGCTTACCATCCGAGCAACTCCTTCTCGTCCTATGTCTTCTATTAAGTTCCATTAATCTCGCAAAAGAATTTTGCGAATTAACAGACCTAATGTTCCAAAAAATCATCTTTGTATTAGTTGATTACTACTAGTTCCTCTGTCCTTGCTTCTCCTTGTACGGCAATTTACATCCATGTATATTAACATTATTTTTAACAACATTTATAATAATATTCACAACCTTAATTATTCGTTGTTCTTATGATAATACACTTCTCTATTAAAAAAATTACATTTTATAAATACAATTTTTATTTATGAATATAATATAAGCTGAATGTATTTGCCTAATTCTTATGTTTATTTATATTTTGATTTCTCTCAAAATGTTCACTTCAATACTAAATTTTATATTTTTAATTAAATAGCTTATTACTCACTTAAAAGTTATATTTTATATATAAATTAAAATGTAGATAACTTTAATCATAAATTTTCTTTTACTTTTAATAAGCTTAAAATGTAAGTTTTATTTTTAAGCTAAATAAGATGAAGGTTTTATTTTTAAACTAAATAAGGTGAAAGTTTTGTTTTTAAGCTAAATAAGATGAAAATTTTATTTTTAAGCTAAACAAGATGGAAGTTCTATTTTAAGTTAAATAAGATGAAAGTTTAATTTTAAAAACACACGGCACAATCATGGAAATGCATACTCAAAAATATTTAAGCTAAATAAGATGAAAATTTTTATTTTTAAGAATGAATAACTAAAACTTTCAAAGAAAATGTAAAAAACTAAATAAGGTGGAGGGTATTTTTGTAAACAAACAACTTATTCTTAAAAATTATGCAATGAATAAGTGTTTGAATATGACAAACCAAACAAGCAACAAAAATAGCATAACTAATCTCAGCATAACTTGTATTTAAACCAAACGACCCCCTTAGTGTTGTTAATGCTACATGTTAAGCCTCTTTCTTAGCGGGGATGAAAAGAGGGGTGTGGCATATTGTTTAAGATATAACCCATGAAGGGTTGATCGATCATTTTGAGATCTTGCAGCTCATCAATGAGGTTGATTTTACGTCCAGGTCTTTCTAGGTTTCACCCTGTTTTTCAAGTGCAGATGTTGAAAAGAAATATCATTTGGATGGTTCCTATGTGATTTAATGGGAGTCGGTACAGTTACGTTGGATCAAAATTTAACCTTTAAGGAGGATCCTATAATTATTTTGGATGAGTAGATTTAGAAGTTGAGGTCCAAAAGGATAACATTTATGAAAGTGTTGTGTGAAGATCATCTAGTGGCAGAGGTCACTTAGGAGATTGTGCTGAACATTCAGAGAAAATAATCCCAATTTTTTAGAATAAGGTACCTTCTATCTTTTTATGTTCAAGGATGAAAGTGTGTTTTAGTAACGGATAATGTAAAGGTTGCATTTTAAGATTTTCATAATTTTGGAGTTAACCACTGTCAACTTTAGGTCAAGACAACTCCGAAAAGTTGATTAATGCTGTCAATAAGTTAGAAATGTGTTTTGTGATTGATTTATGTTTGGAATATTCTAAACGAGTTTCAAGACTTGGGCTATATTGATAATATATGGTTTTCCGTCATTTAATTGGTTTCATCTCACTTATGGTCTACATATCACATCGGCAAAGCCGTAGAAGCCTGAGGGATTCCACACCTGCAAAGAAGGCTGGGGTTGAGGGTGGTCTCTTCTGCGGAGCTTTCTCACGTCAGGAACTTTGAGGATTCATAGCATCGGTAAATTTTTAACCTTTCATATGATTTTTCTTCTTCGACTTATTATTTATTTCATCGATTTACCACTTATGTGAAAGGAGTTTTGGATATTTTCCTCCTATTAAGAGAGTGTTTTTGAGATCCAATTTGAGCTCTGTTTACAGTAAAATTATAGATTTGAGCTCCTTATTTTATTAATAAACGTACTCGAAAGAAAAATCATGTTCAACGATGGGTCTGGGGATTGAGCTTTTGACATGAACCATCATATTGCAAAATGAATATTGATGGACTCGGCCTTCGAGATAGGTTACGACTTACTCCTCTCAGACTTAGCTTAGGTGGTAGCTTATTGTGTAAAACATGTTATGAATTGGGGAAAATATTAGCTTGAAATACTAAATGATATGATTTCAATAGTGATTCCCAAAATGGAATTTTAGCGTTAAATGACTTTGGAATTATAAACTGTATGGTTTGGGCAAATTCTTAGTCTAGGTTAGACACATAGTAATATAGGTGTCTATGAGCTCGTTTACTTATGAATTATGCATACTTGCTCGATTGAAAACGTTCGAAGGCATTGAGGAAAGGAAAAACGTTGGAGAATTAGCTTGCTCGACTTCGGTTCTTCGGTTGAGGTCGGTTATGGTTTAATCTATGTGATAGAGGGACTCTTGATAGTCATTGAGTAATATTGTGAAGTTTTTCCTGTACTTAATTGTTGTGGTTTGGATGAGTTATATGTTGTTGTAATTGGTCTGTAATCCAAAGACCGTGAAATCCATAATCTTGAACTTGTTCTACCAAAGTGATGTCTTAAATAAAGAAGGTCTGATGAAATATTGTTAATGAAGTGAAAAGTGATGGTAACAAAAGATAAATTAACTATATTGTTGGATCGGGTGCCACGAACCGTCACAATTATTTGGATTGGGTGCCACGAGATGGCATGATATATTTGGATCGGAATACCATAAGCCGGCACGATATATGGATTCGGTGCCACGAGCCAACATGATATTAATGTATCAGATGTCACGCTTCATCACGATAACATTAAAGGAAAACATATTAAAGTAACTTAATATACTCAATCTCAATGAACCCATTTCCCAAAAGAGCGTGGTGTGAAGGCCTGAGTCCTCATGTGTGTTCTTGATATTGTTGATTAATTACGTACTACTTCATTACTGTTGTCACTTGTTCATGTTGTTTGTTGCTTGCCATCTACTAAGTCTTATAGTTGATTTTATGTATATTGGTTTCTATTTTGAGTCAGTCGATGATACCTACTTAGTACATGTTGCCCTGTGCTAACCCCTACTTGTATTTTCTTCGTTTTCTTTTATGGAGTGCAACAAGTGTACCACTAACTTTGGGTCGCCCTCAGCTCTAGCTAGTCTCCAACACATCAAGTTCTAGGGTAATCTATTGATTCTAGCTTGTGTTGGATTCTCTCGGTTATGGCATGATGTCCTAAGTTTTCAGACATTAATTATTTTATATATTTATTTATTTATTCTGGTGTCTTTGATACTCTAAGACTTAGTACTTGGAAATTAGATGTCATTGATGTGATGACTTTCAGGTTTTGGAAATAATATGTAATAGACTCTAGTGGATTTGTATTTCTTACATCAATAAGTTTTGAGCTTCTGTGTTATGGTTGTATTTCGTAAGTAGAACTTTAAGTTGGGGTTGAATTAGTTGGTTCTCCCACCTATAAGGTTAAGTGTGAGTGCCACTCCTGACTCGTTTTGAGTCGTGACACTAGGACACTTGATCCTCCGTGCTTTGATATCAAGTTTGTCATGACTCAAGCCTACACCCTGGACGTGATCGACACTCGAGAATCATTGCTGGTCCCCGAGTGAACCCTCATCATGGCTGACTACAAACGAAAGACTAACTCAAGCATACATAAGCATCAAACTTAAAGAAACATTTAACAAGAGTTTAGTGAATCTCAAACTCTCTGAATATATAAGTATGAAACAATAAGTTTTAAATAAAACATTTGAAACTAAAAGACTCTCCAAAACTGTCTATCTATGAAGCATCTACTGTATAAAGATGATCGTCGAGACAAGACCCACAACATCTTAAAAAGCAACTACTAACAACTCATAAAAACTAGAGTCTCCGGAAGCAAGAAGCCATAATTTGAACAATCCAACCCAACATAAAAATGCAAAATCTACCACACATCATTGTTTGTTACCCAACTAAAACCTAATCTTCATAAAATTCGTTGATAAACCCCTAGTAAGTCTATGCGAACCAGGTCGCATTGTATGGTCATATATGAACTCAAATGTGAAAATCCATACAATCTTCAATTTTGAACCAAGGTCTATACGAGAGGTCTTATTCCTTCACATTTCTTAACTTCTTCCCATGACACAAATTTCAAATACCTTGAACTCTTTAATACACTAAACTTTTATTCTTTTCACTGACTCGCTTACCAATTTTATTTATTGACCAACAATTTATGATATATTACCTTATACTCTAAACCAACACTTTTAAGTTAAACCGTTCCTTAGGTCCTTCAATAATCAAAAGTAACAAACTTTACTACCCAAACCATGCATATGTCCTTCATAATGCTCAATACCCGATGCAATCGATCATTTCTTACCTTACCAATTCATACCTTGATAAAATATACCACCATTAATGTAGACTAACAATAAATAAAAAGTTGAATTCTTCCAACTGTATAACCCAATCCCCTTATCTATCAACATTAGCTCATATGTTGAAGATTTTTATGAATTCACATATCTTAGCTTATTATTGATCACCTCTCCACCGACATTACCGTATCCTTCACTAAAAATCCAACCGTACACATTATCAAACTTGAAACCACCAAAGAACTTATGACCACATTCGAATCAAATGTCTGTAAATTCCTTTCTCA